GTGTGTGTGTGTGTGTGTGTGTGTGTGTGTGTGTGTGTGTGTGTGTGTGAGGTAGAGGGGGGGTTATATGTGCAGATTGTATAAGAAGAAGATGAAAAAAGTCATGCGCGCTGCACATGTGAGGAGTCTGTCGATAGCAAAGCGACTTCATTTTTCTTTATTTGTGAATGTGTTTAAGGCAACCACACACACACACACACACACACACCGCTCCTTCATCATCACTCTGTTGATTTACTCCTCCTCCTCCTCAGGGTTCCTCGGTTGCCCAGTGCTGCCATTATCAGCTCTCTGTAAATCAGCCATGTTTGACGAAGCTGCTCTTTCAACCCGGGATCGATACCCGGTCTTTATCTGGCCAACTCTGGCTAATAAAGGCAGGGCCTCTTATCCGCCATCTGGACGGCACACACACACACACACGCACACACACTCAGGTGATAACAGCCCGATAACTTTAGAAAGAAACACACATTCTCTCAGTAACAGGACCGAACCTCCCTCTCCGGAGCACCGACTCTTCGCTCGGCAGCATCTGTTCGGTACTTTCTGCCACCTGCGGTGAACTCCCCCTCGTTCCCAGAATCAGCTGCGGCGACGCAAACGGCTAAAGTTCCTTTTATTTCTCATTCAAACAATCATGTTTCTGCATCACAGGAAACGTGATAAAATCCACTTGTGGGTCGATAAGTCGTTATGTCACCTCTTGCTGACCTCTGATTGTCGTCTGAAGCAATCACACAGATTTTTGTCAGCTGTTTTCTTTTTTCTGCGTTTCATCAGAATCTGATGGGTGGCGATAGAAAAAGTGTGTGTGATGCATAAAAGAACAAACGGCAGAGGGGTAATCTCTGCTTTCATCGTGATAAACAGTCTGAGACAGTTCACAGGATTAACGCTCACTTTCTTCTCTCCCAGGATTTAGTGTTCAGCTTTTACTGATTCATCGGCTGTTTCTGAACCCGTACCACTGAAAGCAGCTGAAAGTCTGCCGGACCCTTTTCTGTCCACACGACGAGCGGCCGAGGTCTGGCAGGAAGTGAGGGAAACTTATCTGAGTCTGAAACTGAGCCGTTTCACGTGTCACTCAGTAGCTGAAGCTGTTTCTGATCATTTCTCATGAACCCTGAACTCTCGTCGACTTCGCTCATGTCACTCATATGAAACGTGACAGAATCAGGTCTCACAAAAACTAACTCTGGTCCAACAGATCGCCTGCCGCATGTCGGACTGAAACTGAATTCACCATATCGGAGCTCAGAGTATGTGTTGAGAATGACTCTTAGCTACCACAACACCATTAGCACGCCATCTTAAACTGACAGACTTAAAAACACTTTGGTGTTGCTAATGTTGATTAGCTGCGGTGGCCATCTTGAATCAGATCGACACCAAAAGTTAGTCAGCTTTAGAAGTTCATCCAGTCGTAGCTTGTTGAAAGTTTCATTCAAATCCATCCACTGATTCATAAGATATTTTGCTGACAGACAGACAAACAAAGCACGGACACAAGTACTGGTAATTACATGATCACCCGCCTTTCATGGTTGGTAACCTGTATAAATAAAGGTTGAATGAATGAATGGTGAGGATAAGTAAAAACCTGGTGAACTGTCGAACTTCCCGATGTGAGGCGACAGCTCTATCCACTTCACCACCTCGCCCCCCTCCCTCCTTTAGCTACTGTTGTGGTAATTTCAACATTAGCATCCATTTAGATAGACTTAACTCATTTAGCTAATTTTAGCTTTTAGCTACAGTCTTGCAAATGTTAACCGTAATCTACAGCTTTGCAATTTCTAGTACATTTTTGTTTTTTAGCTTCTGTTGTGCAATAATAGTAGAAAAACTTTTAGTTTCACATTTGAAATATAATGATACGCTTTTCTTTTCTAATTTTAGCTTATGTTTAGCTAATTTGAGCCACAGTTTTGCTGATTGTAACTTTCTTTTTGTCATTTTAGCTGCTGTTCTGCTCCTTTTAGCTTGTGTTTTGTCTTTTTTAACCTAAACAACTCAGTTTTTGGTCATTGGACTGTCACAGGTGTTGTAGCTTTAGCTGTTGTTTTGTATGTTTTCTCTCAGTTTCCACCTGGTTGTGTCTTTTCTTTTCACAGAACTTCTGTTCTCCACCGACTCCAGCGTTTAACCTTAAAAACAAACAGGATTGTTTCCTGGAAGTAGCTCAGCTTCTGCGGTCACAGAAAATTTTCCTAATTCAGACAAAACACGGCAGATATTTAGTCTGCCGTGTGGAAACAAGCGACCTTGTTTCAGTGGCGCAACACGTTTCAGACCTGAAGCCGTTAATTCTGACCCTCACAGGAGCAGATTATTGTCCAACGCTGAGTCAGCATTCATGCTTTCGTTTTCCTACTCGTCACATCTAATTATATCTACATACTTTAAATTAATTATTTGTTTATTTATCTAATTGCTCATTCAGATGTTTGCTCTAACTTTTGATTGTTGGAACGTTGATACTTTTTTGAACTATTTAGCTTTATTTACAAACACTTCTTCACAGAATAACATTAACACCTCTTGTTATAAAGTTGTCCTCTTTTAATCGGCAAAACATTTGCTAATGCTAGTTCTACTAGCAGTGGCACTAATCTTAATGCTAATACTGCTCATGCTAATAGTGCTGATACTTTTTTTTTTAGTTAAAAGCTAACACTCTGCTAAATCTGGTTAGCTTTTTGTCACTGGTCGCTTTCTGCCCAGTTTCGACTTCTTCAGTAAAGTGGATCAGAACTCTGGGTTCATTCTTGCTTTCACAGAAAATGGCATTTATTTAGTTTAAGTTGTGATAAACTAAGATAATAAATGTTATTTTTACTGTGACTTCAGCCATCTATGTGTCTGTCAGCAAAATATCTCCTGAACTAGTGAAAGGACTTTTAAGGGAACCCATAAAGTAAAGACTGAATGTTTGCCTTCAACTAATTAACCTCTGGAGACAACCCAATTCAAGATGGCCGCCACAGCTAAGTAGCCTTTAAAACGGACGTCTGTAACTCAGTCAGTTTTGCAGATACTGAGCTAATGTCTTGTTTAGTAGCTGAGAGTCACCATCGGAGCACCGACTCTGGTGGCCAGTCTGTTAGCAAAATATCTCCTGAACCAGTGGAGAGGACCACTGAGGATCAGAGAACAGAGTCACAGAACGAGTGGACTCGGAGGAGCTGGGGGAAGGATGGGGGGGGGGGGTGACTTTGCCCTGCAGGTGCGACGGGGGAAGTTCATCTTATCAGACTGATGGAAACTGTCTCGCTCAGGAGGGAGGAGGGGGGGAGTTTGGCAGAAAAGTGTCTGTCGACTCCTCCTGATACCTGCCTCCCTGTCTCAGATGATATGGGAGATAATATTGATAATATTAAACGCAATAACTGTGTCTGCAGCTCCCCCCTCCCCCCCTCGCTGCAGCCCCTGCAGGATAAAATCAATGTGCCATTCAATGTGATTTATAGCTGAAAATAATGGCACTGTTTAGGCAGGGTGTGTGTCTGTGTGTGTGTGTGGACATGATGTGAAACTGGTGTGTGTTTGGGTTCGCCCAGCCGGCCTCTCTCCAGTGTTCCGTTGGTAACGGGGTCACGTGGTGCCACGGCGTTTATGGCCGCCATCGATTATCGCTGTTTATCGGAGCGGGAATGCAAGGGTAAACACGGCCTTTGTGCCGTTATCAGGGCGGCGGTTTGAGGAAGAGGAGGCACTGAAGAGGGAGGCTGGCCTTTTCAGGACTGGAAATGGGGGACGACCAAGTCGAACGAAGGGCACAGTTGGACTTGGAGAGTTTTAACCAAACGTGTTCAGTTCTGGTCCTGAAGGCCCACTATCCTGCAGGTTTTAGGTGTTCCTCTGCTCCACAACATCTGATCTGAATCAATGGGTGATTAACAGACTCCTGCAGGACATGAAGAGGTGATTCAACCATGGAATCAGGTGTGTTGGAGCAGGAAACGGGTACAACATGCAGGACAGAGGCCCTCCAGGACCTGGACTGGACACCTCTGGTTTAAACCATTGGATCAGGAAGCTGAGCCTAACAAACAGTTTTTTTTATTAACAACCCAACTGATGAACACATGTTCACCACCAGGAGACCTGCTCACGTGGTTTGATGAACAACGTGTTGGTTTAATCTTCTGATTCTTGTTTTTAATGAGTTCCTAAAAGATGAAGAACGGTCGGTCGGAGTGTACCGAGCCTTCCTGGCCTTAAAGATAAAAACAACAAGCAGAATAAATCCTAATCTTGTTTTTATAACAAACCTACGACAAATCAAAGACTGCTCCCCAACAGATCGACCTGCGGTAAACAAATCCATCAAAGGCCAGAACCAGAACCAGGACCTGACAGAAGCATCATCCTTCAGCTGACAGCTCTGCTGGAGCTTAAACCCACGGGTCCAAACAGCAGAACCAGAACCAGACCGAGTCTCAGACACAAAGAGACCAAAGACCAGATGTAAACTGGATTCAGTTCTAATGACACGACTCCGGGTCATCCTCTAAATTTAAGAGCCTTCTTCTGTCTGACTGAGGTCAAAGGTCAAAGACAGAGTCATCTTTCCTTTCTTTGATGCTCATTCACACTGAAACACTTTGATGCATTGGCAATATGTCAAAAATAGTTCAGTTTTGTAACTTAGAAAGAGTAAATAAATAAAAAATTGAGAAACTGAAATGCACACACTAAAAAACAAAAAGAACAAAACATTAAAGATTATATCTGGAGTATAGTAAAACCTTAAATATCAGAATGTTTTTATTATTTTTTAAATCAAGTTTCTTTTTCTATAAAAATTAAAGGACAGTTTGTTTTCAGTGTGGATTATTAAAGAGTCCGATCCTGATGGGATCCAGCTCCATGCAGTCGGCTGACCTTTGACCCCGCGGCGCTGTTAGACCGATCCTCGGGTCAGATACGGCGAGGAGCAGCGATGTAACCATCGATCTAATCTGACTAATCAGGAAGCACACTAATGGGGCGGAGCCCAAAGACCTGATGGAGGCTGTGATACACTGATCAGGCAAAGTTCAGGGTTCACGCACACACACACACACACACACACGCACACAGAAGGAGAGAGAGAGATCTCCAGATGAAAGCAGGTCCAGGTGCAGCCTTTGATCAGGCAGCGGGAGGATTTATAATCAGTGCTGATCAGAGCCACACAGCAGCTTCAGTTGGTTCTGAAGGTGAGGGGAGGAGGAGATGGAGAGATTGGGGGGAGGAGAGGGAGAGCAGTGAAACTGATCCACCTTCATTCAGTGAAGGGGGTGAGGAAGATGAGCGGAGAAACACAGGTGAAGATCTGAGTCTTTGATTCTGCTGAGATGTAATGAGAATCAAGGCGTGCACGTGAGCCTGATGAGACTCTGCGTGCACGTGAGCGTGCTGAGGCTCAAAGCGTGCATGTGGGCTTGCTGATGCTCAGTGTGCACGTGAGCGTGCTGAGGCTCAGGGTGTGCACACGAGCATGCTGAGGCTCAGAGCGTGCACGTGACCATGCTGAGGCTCAAAGCATGCACATGAGCGTGCTGAGTCTCAGAGTGTGCACGTGAGCGTGCTGAGGCTCAGTGTGCATGTGAGCGTGCTGAGGCTCAGAGTGTGCACGTGAGCGTGCTG